ACAGGGTTCTCATCATCAGGAGGGTCAGGGTCCTTGCTGTGTAACTCCCCCCACCCAGCATCTCCCCCCCCTTTCCCTCCTCACCAAGTAGCTTGCCCTGCTGGAACTGTTCCTCCAGAAGTGGGCTGATCTTGGCATTCTTCTTTCGTTCTTCATATTTCTTCTGGATCTTCTTTGACCGCTTTTTATTTAAAATTTCTTCCTCCTCAGGAGTCTGGAGCAAACGGAGTAGATGGACTGATTAGCCTGGAGGCTGTCCCTCCCACTGCTGGGGATCCTAAAACCAGAGATGGCCCAAGCTGTGAGGGACCTCCCCAAAACCTGCTTCATTTCCCAGCATGCCCACTCAAGGCTATGGATAGTGAAGCACATGCTTAGTCAAGGCTTCTCTTAGTCCAGCTAGAACATCTTGGTCCTCTCCTGGTCTGAGGAGTCCAGCGGCCCACCCAAAGCTGCTAGCTATTGGGGGGTAGCCAGCACACAAGCCAAGGTGCCCACCCCTAGAAGCACTGGGGGGCCCTCTTCCTCCCTTTTACCACAGGCTAATGGCTCAACTTTGTGACTGCAGCCCTAAGCAGCCACTGTGCCATGCCCCCTCCCAGACCTTCCTCAGCATACAAAGCTGTCATCTCTGAGACATCAGCAGCAGAACTGGACAAGGTTCTCCTCACTGGAAGGCCGGTTCTTTCCCTCCCCTTTGTCTGCCCCACACACAAGGGACTCGTACCAGCTTGGCTCCTTTCTTCCGGCCCAAGGGCAGAGCATAGTGGGACTCATACCACTGGCGGTACGGGGTGCTATCGATGAGCACGATGCAATTCTTCACCAGTGTCTTGGTCCGGACCAGCTCATTGTTGGATGCATTATAGACCACGTCAATAATCCTTGTTTTTCGGGTACAGCCTAAGTAAGGAGAAATAGCCAGTAAGACTTAAGAGCCATCAATCAACCTCACCAGGCACTCTGGCTCTCTAGAAATCTTTTTCACACACTTAAATGGAGGCTGTCCAGAACAGAAGAGGCAGCCCTCCCCTCTCCCACCTAATCTTTACAGGTTAACACCCCGCCCCCCTTCCTCAACTGCAAACTCTTTCCATCAGTCACTCACCCTCCCTACCCTTCTCTTCAGAGATTTGGTAAAGCTGGTCCAGCCTTCAGGAGCCCCCCTCAGACCACCCTAACCCGAGGCCATGCCTGTCCCCAAAGGCCAAGTCCCGGCTGTGGCGCTCAGTTCTCCAAGGTTTGCATCCCCACCATTACATTCGGTGTTTGCAGCAGTAACCAAGGTTGTCATCAGGGCGCCGGGCCCCCCAGCCCCAGCCCCCACCCCCATCCGACTCACACTCGGAGCCCCAGGAGAAGTTGCCCACGTCCAGCCTCAGCGCCCGGTACTTTTTGTTGCCACCTCGGACTCGCACGGTGTGGATGCGGCGGGGGCCGATCTGCTCGGGGGAGACACAGGCCGGGTCAGGGAGGGTTTGGGGGGTAGGGAAGGGTGTCCCGGGGTCGGGGCGCCCCGGCCACGTGTCAGTGTAACTATGACAAAGCAGCCCCAGCATCGGCGGCCCCCCGGGACCAACACGGCCCGGCTCGGGCCCCTAAGGCTCTGGCGATCATCACTCACGTGGCTGGGGGTGGGGGCGGGGCAGACTCGGGGTGCTCGGCCTCTGGGGGGGGCGCGGGGAGGGAGGCCCGGGGCCCCCCGGCTCACCTTGGTGTTGGCCGGCGGGCGGCCCAGCTCATACTTGCGCTTCTTGTGGTAGGGTTTACGCTTGCCCCCGGTCTTGCGGCGCTTGTGCCAGTTGTCCCGGGAGATCCCTGCGGACCGACGCGGAAGCGGCTCCGGTCAGGCCCGGCCCGAGCCCGGTCCCGAGCCCCCGCTCCCCGCGCCCTTGCTTCCCTCCCCACCCTGGCCCTTCTTCCTTCTCCCTCGCATCCCAAGACCCCCGGCCCAGGCCCGGGACCCCCGACCCAAGGATGGCGACGGATGGCGGTGGATGGCAGCAAAAGCGCCCAGCTTCCTCACCCATGGTCGGCGCGAGCTGCAAAGAGGAAACGCAGAGGCTCACGGGCCAGCTTGTAAAGGGGGGGTTGAGGACTCGCCTCTCGTCACTTCCGGGTGCCGCGAGGTGACGTCACAGGACTCGCCCGGAGGAGCCAACCAGGAGCTAGATGTATGGTCACGTGGGCAGAAGGAGGCGGCTCCTCCAGAGCCGCAGGTCGGGACTGCGCAGGTCTTGGCGAAGCGTCGGCGCTTTGATCCTCCGCCCTGCACTGCGGTCCCAATTTTACAGATGACTTTGGTGGTGATGTTAACTAGTGTTTACATAGCGCCTACTTGGGCTAAGCGTCCTAACATCAGCCGCGGGAGGAAAGTGCAGTTATTCTGCCCATTTCACACATGTGGAAACTGAGGTAGAAGGAGGCGAAGTGACTTGCTCAGCATTGGAACCCCCGGGCACAGTGCCTGGAACATAATATGCGCTTAATAAATGCTAATTGACTTAAGGGTGTCTGCTGCTCCCTGCCAAACTGAGCTCAGAGACCCTAGGCAAAGCCCCTGATCCCCATCTGTAGTGTGGGCACAATCATACTAGGCAGTGCTTTGGTTTCTGCTGCGTGCAGTGTGTAGGAGGTCGCTTTGTTTCTAAATTAACGAATGACTTAGTGGCTGATTTGGAGGTGGGGAAGTGGGCAGAATAAGGATGATCCTCAGGTGGGTGAGTGCGAAGATGGCAGTACCCCCGGCGGAACTAGGGAAGGTGGGAGAAGGGCCAAGGTTAGGGGCGAGGATGAATTCTCTTCTGGACAGCCTCCATTTAAGTGTGTGAAAAGGAGTAGCTAATAAGTTTCCCGTTCTGTGCCAAACGTGGGGTGGAGTGGTCATAGCCAGCCCACAGTGACCCTCAACTCCTGGAACAGTCCTCACACCTCTACGATCTTCCTCACAAGCACCCCTATCCCCATGGCTAAGGTGGGGAGGAAGGAACCACAATCCCCATCTTTCTCTAAACCTCCCTATCCTATGAAATGCTTTATTTGTCTATTCTAAGTTGCTGCAGAATGCTACTGATTTGCTATGTACTATGAGTCAGCCTGAAAAGTTATAAAAACCCCTTCTGTACCCCAGGAATCTGAGTTTGTTATGAGCTCAAGCAGATTTCTTAGCATGCTGAGAAATTACTTTCATTGGACCCCTTCTGCTAGGCATGTGTCTCCTAAAAGGTTAAAAGAATTCTTGGACAGTCTGCCCTGCCCACCCACACCAGAGCAGAAACCCTCCCTTCCTGGTTTGGCATCCCCAACCTGTGTCCTGAAGATTTTCACACTACTTTCTGAGGCAGTCGGTTGCACTTTGGGATAGGTCTGATTGGAACATTGCCTCTTCTATGTATTCCCGGCTTGCCCCCCTCCCTTTTCCCCTTTCTTTTCTTTTTTAAAAATAATTTATTTTTAGTTTTCAGCATTCACTTCCATAAGATTTGGAGTTTTAAGCTTCCTCTCCCTCCCCAAGACAGCACACAATCTGATATAGGTTCTACTTATACATTCATATTAAGCATATTTTCCCATTGGTCATGATGTAAAGAAGAATTAGAACTAATGGGAGGAATCACGAGAAAGAAGAAACAGAAAACAACAAAAAAAAGGAGAGCAAACAGTATGCTTCAATCTGCATTCAGACTCCATGGTTCTTTTTCTGGATGTGGATAGCACCTCTTCCCCCTTTCAGTTCAGCCTTCATAAACTGGCCAGACTGTTCTTCCTTAGGCTTAGACCAGTCAGGTCGGTTCCCTTCATAGGAGGGTGTTCTTCAGCCTCAGGTAGACCAGCCAGAGGTGCCCAAGGACAGGGCCAGGAGAGGGAGGTCTCCTGTCTTTGTCCAATACTGGCTTTTCTAGAGCACGCTTCCTTTTTTCCAACTTCTACTGCTTGAACAAGGTTCCCCAGGCCAGGCCACCAACTCTGCCCCTATGTCCTCAAAGCACCATCCCAGTGTTGTGTTTTTGTGGGATGGACTCCAGCATTAGATTAGGGGTTAAGTTGTTCCTCAGGACCCTCCCCACCCCCATTCCAACTTGCCAGAAACAGCCGGCAGGCAGCCTCTTTCTGCCCAGGGGTGCCCAAAGAATCCCGATTGTCTCCAGGGCATACATCAGAGGCCCAAGGGAGGCAGGAGGCTGGGCTGGTGGCATGTCCACCCTTTCTTTGGTGGTAGTTATCCTTCACTTTCAAGAGGACCAATGACATCAAGGGATGCTGTCATTGACTTGTGTATGAATTGGATTTCAGTGAAGCAGAACTGTGCAAAGTCATCAGCCTCACTCTCTCTTCCAGTCACAGAATTCCAGTGGCAGGACAAAAGTCAGGATGTCTGGTGATGGCCAAGAAGCAGTGGGTGACCTCGGTGTTTCCAATGTCTGGCCAAGCTCTAAGTGCTCCACGGGTGCCTGCTTCAGCTGCCTTCATGGCTGTTGGAACAACATATTCTCATCGCCCATTCTTCCAGGGGGAAGTCTTTACATGTTTGGGACAGACATCCCCTCCCTAACTCACCAACAAGTTGGAGGTTACCCTCAACCTGGTTTAGTCCGTCTGCTGAGACTTTTTCACCTGGCTGTGGCCACTGTGCATGCTAAGGCTTGGAGTCCCAGGTGAGAGCTGAGTGATGGGTGGACACGGAAGTGGGATGAGCAGCCCTCCTGCCAGAGCAGCTAGTGCTCCCGAACACCTCACCAGAGGGGCTAGTCCCACCTGAACACCTAGAGCGGTCCTGTGTGGAGGCAGAGCAGGGAGGACCCTATAGGCAGCCTGGGGAAACTCAGGAACTGGCCCAGGGCCACATGGCAATAAGGCTCATGCTGGAATTTGGGCCTTGCTAAGTATTCTGCCCCTCTTCCAACCCAACAGTTGCCTACAACACACTCCCCATTCCCTGAGAGCCCATTTCTAGAACAATGTGACCCCTCCCCCCATCTCCACGAAGCAGAGGCAAATGATTCCATTCTCTTCCTTTATTGGGAGACGCAATGTTTAAATACAGACAACAGACAACAGACAGGTCCCCTTCACCTCAATGAAACCCAACAAGGTTGTCAGAGGGACTGAGGAGAAAGGGTTTCAGAATCTTTTTTTAAAAAAATCCCCCCCACCCCCACCCCAAGCAGACACTGGGCAGCCAACAGCAAGGCCCAGAACTGTCTGCCTTGGAACTGAAGGGAAGGCTGGTCCTTCCTCATCTCCTCCCAGCTCCGGGACCGCTGCTGGCCAGAGCTCCATCAGTCACACAGGCCAAATGCTCACTAAGACTGCATGATAGAAAACCCTATACAACAGACATGGAAAAAAGAACGCTGGTGGGGAGCCCCCGGGCCAGCCCACCCAGGACCTTGGAGGCGGCCCAGGCCCAGATCCAGTGGGCAGACATCCCAGCAGTGTGCCCTAGCACCCCAAACAAGGAGGGCATCCAGACACCCCTGAAGGAAGAGCTTAACCATCAAACAGTTTATTGGCATGTTACTGAGGTCGTTTATGGCTGCTCATCTGCAGGCTGGCCTGTTCTTCCAGCTGCATGGCTAGGCGCAAGGCCTGCAGGACATCTGCAAAAGAAAGGTCTCAGTTCAGCCTGGCCCAGTCCGGCCGCCCCCTCCCCCGTGGTCAGCAGGAAGTGTTGAGGATCTGAGGATCTGTGGCCAGGAGGAGCAGCACTAAGGCTTCTAAGAGGTGCATAGAAGCCAGCATATACCACCCAGGGCTGCTTCCCCAGGACTGCCCAGGACCCTCCCAGTCCTGGCCACGGGGGCTTAGCTGGAGGACAGAGGCCAGACCAAGAAGGCCCCTAGAACCAGGAGCCTGGGGGCTGGTACCTTGCAGGCTGCTGAAGTTCTTGATCCCCTCGGCGGCAGCATACTGAGCTTTGTTCACAAAGGTCTCCAGGTCGTAGTCTGGCTGCTCCGTGGTCTCCAGCAGCTCGACCCAGTTAGACCACTTCTGCAGGGACACAGGAAGAGGGGACCACAATGGACCTCACTCCATTCTCTGCCCCCTGAGCCTAGGGCAATCTTGCCTGGGAAGAGTGAGAGCCAGTGTGTCTGGAAGGGGCACTTAGGAAGTCAGCAGCACCTCTTGCCTACGCCCTAAACCAGCCCAGGCCTCAGCCTGTCCCTGCCACCATCCTGGCAGCGTTAGGGGGGCAGAGGCTACTGTCACCCTTTCAGCTGAAGGACAGCTGCCTGCAGAAATTGTGAGAGCCTGGGCCTGGGGGAGCAGCTGGGCCTTAGAGGGCCTGACTCCACGTGACTAACTCTAAGTCAGAAGGGGAGGGAGAAGATTGCAGCACAATCAGGCCCTCTCCAGGCAGTCTCAAAAGAACCAAGAGTCCCTCACAGCAACTAATGAAGCCTGAGTATCAGGCCCAGAACATGAAGAAGGGCCGACCTGCTGGGGAGGCTGTGGGAAAGGCCTCCTGTGCCTTGGGGGCCCTGAGGTGGAGGGCTGCCGTCTCAAGGAAGGATGGAAGCCCTGCTGTCCATTCGAACAGATCCCTGCCACCTGCCGGCCCTTCCTGGTGATCCAGGAAGGGACTGTACCACCAGAGTGGTGCAGACTTTGAGTCTCTGGAGGAGAAACTGATGACTGGGGGGGAATGGGGGATGGCTTCATTTCTGCTGCTCATTGTCAGGAAGGGCTTCAGAAGAGAAAGGAATTTCTGGGAAGGGAATGGCTGCCTAGGATGTCCAAGCACGCATTTTCAGGCTCAAGGCTTGGGCAGGAATACCCCTAACAAAATGGTGTGGCGGTAGGGGACAAGAAACTTCCCAATCTGTCAAGAAGAGGACTTAAAAGGAGAAGAGAGCTGCCCCTTGCTGCCTGGCCCGGTGCCTCAGGGTGAGGGGATGGGGGATTACACTTGAGGAGGGTCAATCATGGGCTCAGACAGTTCCCTGCATGATTCAGGGCACAGAGAACTTAATGTGCCCTGTCAAGGATTCAGAGGCAGTGAGGATTTCTGGGAGGGTAGAAGGGACCCAAGAGGCTTCCAGTCTGAGCTGGGTCAAGACAACAGTCACTTCCCACAACATCCCCAACCTATCATGGAAGACGTGCCTGCCGCCTCATTAGGAAGCCCTCTCCACTCTGAGAAAGCACTTCCTGACATCAGGATGAAACCTGGCTTTTTGCAGCTTCCTCTCAATTGCTTTGGGACCCTGCAGGAGAAAGATCACATCTCCTCCACAAGGATTTGACCTCCAGGATGTAGAACTCCAAACTCCCTCTGCCCACAAGCCCCGTCTCTGCTTCCTCAGGCCATCACCCTAGGAAGTCAAGCTTCATTCTTCTCTCTCAGGATCCCTGGATTCTCCTGGATGAATGGGCCAGGTCCTACAGCACAGAGTCTGCCCCATGGACCTCTCTCTTGTCCTTTCCCAAGAGAAGGAAGGCCATCTATGGCAAACTCCCCACCCTGCTTATACCCTGGCTGTCATCTCAGGCATTCCCATCTCCAATCTCTCTTCATCCACTGGCTCTGCCAAGTGGCCTACACAAATTCCCCATCTCCTTTCTTAAAAGTCTCCACTTTCCCTGGCCAATTCTTCAACCGAACATTTCTTCTCCCCGCTGCAGTCACAGAATCCGAAAGATGGAAGAGATCTCAGAGGTTTTAAGCCCAACCTTCTTTGGACAGAGAGGAACTGAGGCCCACAGGGGAAGTGACTGACCCCCGGTCCCAGGGATATTATTAGTCACAGAACCAAGTACTCTGGCTCCCAAAGCCTCACACTGCCTCTGTCACCTCTTGAGGGAGCCTGTTCCGTTTTATTAATTGGGGAGGCTAGCTGGCCAACTTCATTAAGCATGTGATTTTATCAGATCATTATTCTGGAGCTAGTAGAAACCTTTTAAATCATCTTATCCTACCCTCTTTTCAAGCCTGTTCCATTTTAGAAAGGCTCTCCTCGTTAGCAAGTTTTCTCCTCAATGTTAAGCTTAAATTGGTTTCCCATCGATATCCTCCCATCTTTGCTCCTGGCTCTGCCCTCCAAGGCCAATGGAAGAAGTCTCCTCCCTCTGCCACTTGAGGGCCCTTCAGACACTACAAGACAGCTGTCATGGGAGACCACGTTGAGTCAACTGAAGGCTAAACATCCTCAGTTCTTTCAACTGATCCTAATATGACCCAGTGTCAAGACGCTCTCCTCACTGTCCTGCTTATGCCTGACCACAACCCTCCAGATAAGCGCTGACCAGGACACAGCCCCAATCTTTCTCTCTCATTGTAGCACAAGATCCCCTGAACTTCCTACGTGGCCCTATCACCTTGTCCATGTGAGAGCTGGACAGCGATATCCCTCTGCCCCAGAGACATGGTGAATTTAGTCCCCAGGCAAAGCACAGGTGTGAGGAGGCAGCATTGTTCCCTTGAGCTTGCAGAACCTTCCAGATAGTGGATGGGCTGAGGCTAGACAGTCACTGTCTACAGGCACTCCACCCAGGAGCAAGTCTGTAGCTGTGTTGCCTAGATCCAAACCAGGGTCTTTAGCCTGGAAATCCAGGGAGAGATGGTAGGCTGAGCCAATATAATAAAAATGACATTACCACCTAAATTAATTTCAGTGCCATACTAAACAAGCTGCCAAAGAATTACTTCATAGAGTTAGGAAAAAAGATGATAAAATTCATGTGGAGAAACAAAAGATCAAGAATATCGAGGGAATCAATTTTTTTAAAAAATGGGCAGAAAGGGGGCCTGGCAGTGCCAGATCTCAAACTATACTACAAATTTGTAACTATCTAATTAATTTGGTGGTGGTATTGTTCAGTTATTTTAGTTGTGTCCAACCATGACCCCATTTGGGGTTTTCTTGGCAAAGATTCTGAAGTGGTTCGCCATTTCCCTCTCCAGCTCATTTTACAGATGAGGAAACTGAGGCAAACAGGGTTGAGTGACTTGCCCAGGGTCACACAGCTAGTAAGTGTCTGAGGAAAGATTTGAACTCAGGAAGATGAGACTTCCTGACTTTTGACCTGACACGCTGTCCACTGTGCCACCTAGTTGCTTAAACAGTTTGGTAGTGGGTAAGAAATAGAGAAGTTAATCAGTAAACTAGATTAGGTATATAATACATAGAAATAAATGAGCATAGCAACCTAGCGTTTAATAAACCTAAAGATCCTAGTGACTGGGGAAGAACTCACTAGTCAGTAAAAACCGTTGGGAAAACTGTAAAGCAGTCTGGTGGAAATTGGTATAGAGCTGGAAGAAAATAGGTATAGATCAACGTCTCACACATCTCAAAATAAACGCCAAACAGGCACATGATATAGACATAAAGAGCAACATCAGGGGGCAGCTAGGTGGCGCAGTGGATAGAGCACTGGGCCTCGATTCAGGAGGACCTGAGTCCAAATCCAGCCTCAGACACATAACACTTACTAGCTGTGTGACCTTGGGCAAGTCACTTAACCTCATTGCCTAGCCCCGCTCCCAAAAAGAGTGACATCATAAGCAAATTAGTGGAACGTGGAAAAAATGTGGACAGGGAAGAGTTCAGAAGCAAACAAAAGACAGAGAGGTTCACAGAAGGTGTGGATAATCTTGGGATATAACATTAAAAGTTTTTGCAAACAAAACCAACATAGCTAAAATTAGAAGAAAAACAGGAAATATGAAGACTCTGATAAAAGTCTCATTTCTAAGATACATAGGGAACTAGTTAAAATTTACAATAAGAGCCATTCTTCAATTGATAAATGGTCAAATGATATGAACAGACATTTTTTCAGAGAAAGAAATCTAAGCTGTATGAAAAAAAGCTCTTAATCAATGGTATCAAACTCAAATAGAAACTGCTTCTTATGGGCCACATTTGTTGTTGTTCAGCTGTGTCCAACTCTTTGTGACCCCAGTTTGAGGTTTTCTACACAAAGGTACCAGAGTGGTTTAATATTCCTTCTCCAGCTCATTTTACAGATGAGGAAACTGAGGTTAAGTGACTTGCCCAGGGTCACACAGCTAGTAAGCGTCTGAAGAAAGATTTGAACTCAGGAAGATGAGTCCTCCTGACTCTGGGCCCAGCACTCTTATTTACTGCACCACATAGCTGGGCTGCTCAGTGACTTGGAAAACCACAAATTAACATTATCTGTGTTGTGTTTTGTTGTATTTTTGGGGGGATGTTAAATATTTCCCAATTATATTTTAATCTGCTTCCAGGAGTATTCTGCTGGTATACCATAAGTTTAATACCTCTGCTTTAAATCACTAATAACTAGAGAAATGCAAATTAAAACAACTCGGAGGTACCACCTCACAACCCTCAGATTGGCTAAGATGACAAAAAAAGAAAATGACAAATTCTGGAGGGGCTTCAGGAAAACAAGTACACTAATGTGTTGATGGAGATGTGAACTAGTCCCCAATCATTCTGGAAAGCAATTTAGAATCAGATCCAAAAAGCTCATTAAACTGCACATAGCTTCTTACTGAGTAGTACTGCTACTAAGGTCCATAAGAAAAAAGAGAAAATATTTGTAAGCAGCTCTTTTTGTGGGGGCAAATAATTGGAAAGTGAAGGGATGCTTATCATTTGGGGAATGGCTGAATAAGTTATGGTACCTGAATACAATGGAAGCAAAAGGTAAAGTTTACAACCAAGAAAAACGTACCCAGCAAAACTTAAGTACAATCCCACAAGGGATTTTAATGAAATAAAGCACTTTCAAGCATTCCTGATGAAAAGACCAAAGGTGAGTATCAACTCTGAAAGACAAACACAGGAGGTCAAGAGAAACATACTCGGGTCTTCCTGACTGCCCAGTACAAAGATGAAAAAGGGAGAGGGAAAGAATATACTAGGGAAGTAAGGGTGGCAGAAGATACGATATCTCATACAATAGGGACACTCAAGTAGTAGTCTAAACAAATGGAGGAGAGGATGGGGAGGTGGGTATCACCTGAACCTCACTTTCATCTCAATTGGTCCAAGAAG